TTGCAAAGTACAGGCTGCAACCCACGCACCTGCTCTATATCAACATTCCTATATCAGAATGGATGTTAAGAATTACATTTCAATATATGTGTATTATTGAAACCTCAAAATAAAATATATTATCACTCAAATTAGAGAAGGAACTAAATCTGATGTAGCAGTCTAGTAATTCAACATAGTAAAATTGCATGGTATTTATTTTAGCATCAAGATCATTAAGTTTGGTCAAATTAATCCCCTTTTTTTTTTTTTTTTTAGTAAAACATGATTAACAAAATACACCAACTGTAAGGAGGGAAGTACAAAAGAGAGGAGAGAAAAAGTGCAGAAAGAATCTTAAGGATGGCCGAAGTCTGGCAATGAAAATCATTTTCAAAGACCATTAACTACCAACTGCTTTTCTCAGGGCTCTGATTAAATAAGACTATTCACCCCATGTTAAAAGGGATGGCTATTTTTGTGGGATAGGGCTTCAAATAAAAATGTATAAAAAAGAACCAAACCACGATATGCAATTAAGCAAGTAACTTAACACTATATATGTGCCTGTTAGATTGTTAGTGAGTAAATATTCAAGTTATTTTTGGAGAGTTAGACAAAACCATCATTTTCATTTTTAAATACAAATTCTACAAACTGAGACTTTGTCTTTATGAACTGAAAAAACTACTCGAAGAAAATTTATATTCACTGTTATTATATATTTCTTATGTTTTAGTTATCATTTGTCTGAAAAGTGCTAGATTTTACACAAGTAAGAAAGTTTGCTTTACTCTGTCATATCTCTGGTGAGCAGGCGCTCTGGTATTAATGTAAATTGCTGATTTAATTTTTAGCTTTCTTGGTTTGCCCCTCACCTATCTAGAAAATGATTTCTCTGGTGATAACTAACACATCATGCTAATGAGAGAATCTAATGCACAATAGAAAAATGTCACTACTAATAATATTTGCATGAAGTTAAATAAAGCAACTGTAAGAGAATGTCAGACAGTTGTTCTTTAATAAGACACAGTTTCACAATGAAATTATGTTGTTAATTTTGTTACATCATTGGGTGAATCCTAAATTACTACATAATGATGCACAGAGTCATTTATAATTCTAACTTAGTATTTCACTCTAGTCTGAAAAGAGACCTTATTAAGGGATCTACATTTTATTTGAAGCACATTAACTATACCTCACCAATAATAAAGGTAAATGCCTCTAGGAATGTGTAAAATATGGACAATCATCGTTTACCTGTATGGCTTCATTTCTGAAAAGATGTAAAAATAGATCAGATTATTTTTTCCCTTGAGGTAGCTACAAGAACTTTATTTGCTATTCTCTCAAATATCCAAAATGCATACAAAAATAGAGAAAACACTTTTTAAAGTCTGCTATTTAAAAAAAACTTTCAAAGATAAGACCTTATTTTTTGCTTCTAACAATACTTAATGAGCCTATACTGGGAAAAGCAAGGTTCTGGGCTGCAGGAGATGATCAGAGAAGAGGAGGGAAAGGTTTGTGGTTATTTTCAATCTGTCACTGATCAAACTGACCCGAGATCTCCCTTTACAAAAGTCAACAGTTACGCCCTTGGAGGTTCTCAAATATTCTTCTATATACCAAGAAATTATTCTTTTTGAGAAAATCATGCTAAAATGTGGAGGAGGGAAATGTAGACAGGCAAGAAAATGAAGTCAAATAGTTGATCTCAAACTTTAGGGGAATATACTTAATCCCACCAACTCTAAATTGGCTTTGAATTCTGAGGTCTTTTTGTTAGTATTAGACCGAATGAAAGACTTACAATTTAGGGAAATCCAACTCTGTTCATGTAAAACAAAAGATAAGGGTTTTTATCTCCCTACTGCCTAGTTTCATACAGAAGACACAAACCTGGATTATCAAATTTCAGTATTCATGAGACATTTCCCCACCAGAAGTTTTTCTGCAGTTATATACTGGTGGTGAATTAACCATAGCTCAGTTCTTAAACATTGGGAGGTAACCCTTATTAGTCAGTCTTTTCTAATGTTTAGAGAAATTATACTATTAATGATAACTTTGAAAAGAAATGTGTCCAACAAATTTTATTCATTTTATGAATAAATAATTTTTTTCTTTGAAATTAAAATAACCACTGAGAAAAACCTCTTTCTGCCTTAGAAATGAAATACACAACATTCTATATACTTCATTAAACTGGTCAAACTTTACCTTTAACAAAAGCTGGCTTAATGTGGGTATTGAAACTACTTCAAAATAACTGACTTTAAAAGAGATCATTTCAAGAAAGCTCTCTTACACACACATACACACACACACTGAATTAGCATTGTTGATGAACTATAAGTAAGGAAAACATATTATTAAACATTTATAGAACACAGACTTTTAGATTTATACATAATTTGGATTTAAGTTTATGCAGTATTTATGCAAACTAAAATGTCCTCTTGAAGAAAAAGCAAAAACATATACATATGTAAACTCATACCCTCCTTTACATGCTTTCCAAAAATGCACAAAAGGTAAATATTTAGTAACCATGAAAGGAAAAGCGGGGGAGTCACTAACTACATCAAAAGCCCAAAATAAAGACAACACATTAAAAATATAGTTTGATCATAGTACTTTTTAAAATTATGATTTTCTCCCTTTATTGAACTATTCTGCTTAGTAAATAGTATAATTAATATTACATAGTTTTTTACACAGCACCATTAAGTATAAATATCTTCTACATAATTTGTATGATCTTCAGTCACTGATGCTTACTATTACACACATTCATACAGGTATGCACAAAATATATCTTTGTATTCTCACAAAGTCAACCAACGGCATCAAAGACATCATAATAGCTCAGTTGTGTAAGTTTCTCATTGTAAAATTGTTTTCTTCATTCTGACCCATCATTTATATAATTCACTTTTATTTTTTAACTAAAATGTTTTCCATGACTTCAAGTCTCCTTAGATTCAAAGCTACTTGGCAATGGGCTATGCCAAAGAAGCAATCTAACACCATCTATGTGGGTCAATAGCCATCTATCAATTGATCATTATCTCTATCTGGTTTTATTAACTCTTTTCTAGCTAGAGGGAGACCTAAACCAATCTTCCCTTCCAAAACATACACACACACACGCACACGTACACGCACACGTGCACACATGCACATAGCCTCAAGGAAAACCTTAAGGTGATGATACCTAATTTCAAAAGTGTGGCACACATTATTTGGTTCTAAGGTTAGTAAAAACACATTCTGTGTTACAACCACAAGAGAGCCACCCAAGCAGGGATGTGCCGCAGAAAAACACTCTCTCAAAGCACTGTGCAATGACAAGAAGCATCTTTGTAAGAAAATGAACTTTTCACTTGCAAGAATGGAAAGTGCACATAAAGAGTTGCTTATTGGGTTTCTGTTGATTGCATTTAAATCCCAGCTTTCTGTATCAGCAGTAATCAGGGTCCCTCTACAGGATATCTACATACACCTTATTCAAATACACTTACCCTATCTAGAACTGTGTGATCAAAGTGTTTGCCAGACGCTGGCTGTATGCACTATGTTTGGCAAATATATTTCTAAACTTGTGGCAGTTTATAGCCTGGCAAATCATTTTCTTTTCTGCATATCCAACCATTTAAAAAAATTAACTGAAAGTATTTCATTTGTGACCTCTTACATACAAAAGCAATTTTGTTTAGAAAGCCGCTGCAGTATTTTTTAAACGAGGGGAACAATATCAGTTTCTTAACAATTGCCCTCTACTTAAAACCCCAATGCAAGTGTCGGTACTACTTTGGCGCTGCGTGGATGACAAACTAACTCTTGCTTTGTGTGGGTCTGGTGCAGGCTTCTGAAAAGCAGGATGGACATGTCTGGGAGGGAGGCAGCAGGGAACTTCCCTCCCTCACTTGAGCACGATCCAAGATGAAAGTTTCTGGGTTGTCTCCCCTTCGCTGGCTTCCTCTCACCCTCGCTCCCCTGCCGAGCCGCAGAGCCAGCAATTGTGCAAGAGGCAAGCGGAGCCGGGCGGACGCTCGGGGCACGGGGCGCGTATCACCGAGCGCATGGTACGGCGGGCGGCCGCCGGCCTGCGGGTGATTAATGACCAGCTCCCGCCGGCCCGCTCGCACGGCGGCTCTGCACTGCTCGCCTGTCCTCTCCTCTGCTCTCCGGCAGGCAGGCAGAGCAGCTTGCCAGTGGAGCGGATGGCCTCCAGCGCAGGACGGAGGAGCGGCTCTGCGAGGAAACGGCTGCGCCCGCGTTCTCTCCGCCCAGCCGCCCGAGTGTGAGTGCGCGGCGGCCTGGCCGCAGCGGACGGACAGACAGGCAGACAGGCGAGTGACTGGGCGAGCGGAGCCCCGGCGGGCACCGGGCATGAGGCCGAGCACAGAGGCGTCACCCGGCCGACCGGGCGCAGAGCGGGGACCGCGGCGCAGCCCGCCCGCCACGCGCGCCATCTCCTTCGACCCTCAGCGCTGACCCTAGCGCCGGCTGCGAAGCCCGCACGGCCTCCTCGGTCACCATCATGCTGCCTCCAGCCACCAGAAATCAATCAGGCTGCTGTGAGGGGGCCCCCCAGATTTTAGGACTGTTTGGCTGCGAAACCTACCCCGAGACATCACACACACTTTGACCAAGTGCTTCGAAAAGATAAAAAGATGCATTTTCTGGGTAGTGACTTTTTCTTTTTTAAACAGAAACAAAGAAACAAAATTAAGGCTCACATGACCCAGGCTGTACACTGTGAAACTTTGCAACAAATGCCTTTGCTGTCTTTTACTTCAGTATCTTTTCCCCCTTTTTCTTCTAAGGAGCCCTTGGGGAAAACCATGAAGTAACCCTGCACATTCCAATAATACAATTATGACAAAACAGCCTAAATATGAAGTGATCACATTTTTTTAAATACTTGAAAGAGAAACACCAGAAACAAATGTGCACGTAACAATTCTAGGTTTCTTTAAAAAAAAAAAATAATGAAAGTAACTTAC